GAAAGATGGATGGACAGACGACAGATGTTTGGACAGATGGAAGGATGGATGGACGGATAGATGATGGACAGACGGATGGATGGATAGATGGATGGACAGATGGACAGACAGAAGGATGGACAGACGATAGACGGATGGACGGATAAATGGATGGACGGACAGATGGAAAGATGGATGAACAGACGGAAAGATGGATGAACGGATGGACGAATGGATGGATTGATGGATGGATGGATGGAAAGACAGATGGACAGAAGGATAGATGGATGGATGGACAGACGGTTGGACAGATGAACAAAACAGACAATAATCCACACGATGGAGTGTTATTCAGCCTTAAACAGGGAGGACGTGCTGATACCTGCCACCACCTGGGTGAACCCTGAGGACACTGGGCTCAGTGACATGAGCCAGCCACAAAGGGGCAACACTGGATGGTCCCACTTCCGTGAGTCCCCAGAGGAGTCAGATCATAGAGACAGAAAGGGGATGGTGAGTGTCGGGGGGCTGGGGACGGGGAGAGATGGGGAGCTGGTGTTTCTTGGGGGCTGTTTGGGAAGATGAACAAGTTCTGGAGGTGGAGGGTGGAGCTGTTCCCAACAGTGTGAATGTGCCTGATGCCATTGAATTGCCGGCTTAAAATGGTTACAATGGTAAAATAGTATATATATTTTTATTATATTTATTTATGTAATTTTTATTTTTATTATAAAATATTATATATATTTTACCACAATTAAAAAATAATGTAATATACCAAAAACCAGTGGATGATGTACTTTAAGTGGGTGAATTGCATGATATGTGAATTATATCACGTACATGTTTGCGTGCTTGTTAACACGTGGACCCAGCTTCCGTGCCAGTGGCCCGAGGGGCGGTGGAGAAGTCCCCCACCCCCGGGAACTCGGGAGGGGACAGGGCGCTGGGGCTCCTGGCTGAGGAGGCTGGGAGCAGTGGTCCGGGACACCGGGACCAGGGGCCCGCGGGTCTGCCAAAGCTGCTCAAACATGAGGAAGCTCTTCTAGTTTGGACTGAAAGGGGCAGAGATGGCACAGAATGAAGACTGTTTGTGGCTCCTGAACTCTTTAGTAGCCAACGTGGGCTACGTTTTTGGAAACAGGAGGGCCAGAGTGTGCCCTGGGAGCCGTGGCCCGTCGGCCGCATGTGCAGACGGCTGCAAGGCTACTTTCCACCCCACACACTGTCTTTCCCTGGGGCTGATCCCTCCCCTGGAGGCGGGGCCCTGGAAGCAGGGTGACTTCTAGGGTCAGGGAAAGCGAGACTGCTCCTCCTGCTTCTCTTGGGACGGGGCTCCTGGGACGCGGCCGGTGCTGGGGGACGCCCCGGCACCTCAGGGCAGTGTCGGGAGCTGTGGCCCGAGGCCCCAGCCGCAGCCGTGGGGAAGATGTGGTTTGGGCAGATCCGGACGGATGCTGCGCTTATCCAGGTGAGGCTCAGACACGGTGGGGGAGGCCAGCCCCGCTGGATCTTGTCCAAGCTCCTGACCATGTGCCTGCGAGCTTAGTAAACCTGCGGCATTTGCTGCTGGGTGTTGGAGTGGTTTGTTTGCTCTAATCAGTAATGGACGCCGGGAGTGCGTGTAGGCAGAGCAGAGAAGGGACCGGGATAGAGCCCGGGGTGTCGGTGTCTACGCCTGCGGGGAGCAGGAGGGGCAAAACCTGGGGCCCCCCGCCGCTGAGAGGAGGGGATCAGCTGAGGCGGCTGAAGCCTGAGCTGCAGGGAGGCCGCAGGGGGGCTGGACAGGAGGGCCGGGAGCGGACTGAGGGCCGGGCCGTGTAGACGGGATGGGGCGGGGGCGAGGTGTCCGGTGCAGGGCTGGAGGCTGGAGGTTCTAGAGCCAGCCACAGCCAGCTCTGGCTGGAGGGGAGGGGCCTGTGGGAGGGGCAGCCAGGCCTGGGAGCCATGGCAGACCCAGTGGGGAGGGTCCCCGGAGGAGGACGGGGCCATCGTAAAGGGCGTCAGCTGCCAGTGTGCATCGTTCTGGGGGCATTTGTGGTGAGGAGGGCTCCGTGTGGGGGGCGCTCTCTGGAGTCTGGTGGGGATGTGCTGACCTCTTCCCCTGCAGGCTGTCGCCCCTGCCCCACACCCCGAGCTCACTCCTCCCTCCCACTCTTTCCTAGGCCCTGCAGTGACCTCCATGTCTTCATCTGTGTGGCCTCGGGGCCTCCTGCCCCCAGAAAGCTCATGACAATGCGGGCCCCGTCCCCTGCTGGGACCCTCAGGCCAGGGCAGCCCTGCAGACCCCGTTCCCACTGGAAGGAGCCCAGCCGGTACCCTCTGCCTGTGGCCAGGTGGGGATGGGGGGTAACAGAATCAAGGACCGTCCTGGCTCTCCACAGGGCCTTTCCGGAGACTCCCACCTGCAGCCTGACGTCTGACTGGGAGGGGTGGGCAGCCAGGCTGGGGGAAAGACCCCGCTGTCCACCCTCCGGCCGCTCCACGGGCTCTGCTTGGCCCTGGGCATGGAGGGGGCCTCGGTGGCGGTCCCTGACGGCGGCCAGCGTATTCGTGCGTATTTGTGGCAGGGGGCGGAGGCGGTGACTGCGCTGGGCGGTGTAGGACCTGCTGGGCCGGCATCGCCCTGTCCCAGAAGGGAGAGTAGATGCTGAGCTGGGTGGTCTGCTGCGGGCTCTCGGGGTGCTCACTGCCCACATTCCACAGCCCTGGGGGCCTCTGTCCCCCGGGGGGGGCCCAACTTTGTGATGTCTCTTCTTTTTCAGTTTGCTTGAATCCTTTCTTCTGACAGCCCCTCTTGGTCACATCTCGAAGTGGCCGGAAGTGTCGGCCAAGCCCATAGGACACCAGCCATGTGGGCCCTGTTGGTGGACAGCCGGGGAGGCAGGTGCCCGCCCAGCAGCCTGTGAGCTGGTCCTGGCGTGCCGGGCCAGGCCCCAGGACTGCTGCTCTGGGGTGGGGGCTCTGAGCTTGGGCCCCTCCACGTGGCTGCTCAGGCCTCACATGGGGGAGCTCCGAGGGCCTCCGGGGGGAAGGACAGAGAAGGGACAGACACGCTGCGGGCCCAGCCACGTGGCACGGTGGGCAGCTGCTCACCCAGGGCCAGGCTCTCGGGGTCTCGGGGAGCCGGTTGTCAGCTGTCTCATGTTTATACAGGCCCTGGGCTGTCGCCATTGCCCAGAGGAGGCCTTCCCTTGGACGGGGGAGGTTGGGCGAGCAGCTGCGTGGCCCCACAGTGGAGGCCCGTCCCTTAGGGCCCCGAGGGCCGCTGGTGGGATCAGTCCCTGCAGGACAGGGTGGGCGGGCACAGGTCCCCCGGGCTGGCCCGTCTCTGTCTAGCAGGGTGGACGGAAGGCCCGGGGGCTGCCACTTCTGCACACCCTGCGGGAGGGGTGTGGGATGACCTCAGGGCATCCAAAGGCTCTGGGGGATTGGTTCCCCCACTGAGCCCCATGGGCCCTCCCCCACACTGAGGCCTCGTTGGGAGCCGTGGCCCCCTTGGCAGGCCCATCAGGGTTGGGGTGGCCTGTCAGAACCAGTTTGCCGAGGGCAGGGGATGGGTGTGGGGGAGGTGGTGCCGGGGCAGGGGCGGCCGCAGGGGCCATGTCAGCGGTCATGGGCAGGTGACATGGGCTGCCAAGGGTAGGGGGCTGTACCACCAGGATCAGAGACCCCGGCACGTGGTGGGGCAGGGGGAGCCCCAGGGCACCCGAGGGCACCCGAGGCAGAAGGATGCCGCACTGTGCTCTGGCCTGGGCCCCTCGCGGTGCCCGGGGGACTCAGGCTCCCGCCTGCCCACGTGGACGCCTGGCCAGCCCCCGTCGGGGCCCCAGCCTTGGCCTCCCCACTCTGACGCTGCGCCTGGTTAGAGGGCTCTACCTCCCGCCCACGCGCCCAGGGCAGCCAACCTCGTGGAGGCACTGCTTACCTGTGGGGGGCGTCCTCACCCCGTTGCCGTTGCTGGCCCGTAGGGGTGGGAGGCCTGGGTTCCAGCTGGTTCGGCCTCCGGCGTGAGACCTCTGGCTGAGCTCACGGCTCAGAGCAGCCCACGCACCCACGCCCGTGTCTTAGTCGCGGACAGGGCAGCCCACAGAGGCTCCTTGCATCCTCGGCTCCCCACTAGGACTCCGGGGGCTGGGCTGTGACCCGGGCAGGAGGCTCCAGCGCCCAGGGGACCTCTGCCCTCGGAGTCCCCGCCTGTAACTGGGAGCCTGGCCGGGAAGGTGTCTCCCCGGGACTCAGGGCTGCCCGTCGGCTCTGACCCCTCCCTCCCACGAGCGGCGGGCCGATGCCCTGGGGCCCGGGGTGCTGAGGCCCTGGGGGGTCTCATGGCAGGCCTGCCTCACGGCTGCTTGGAGGGGAGAGCCAGAGCTGAGGGCTCAGAGCGGCGGCTGAAATAATTCACCCCCCCGCGCCTTCCCCCCCTGCCCCATGTTGAAGTGAGTCAGTTCTTTCAAACCACATTTGCTGTCTTATTGTTTATTTTCGGGCAGCAGTGGCAATTTTCGATACCCACCTCAGATATGGCTCGGGTCACCTGTCATTCCAGAAAGGTCAGCGATTCATTTGAAGTTTCATCACTGCACATAAGCAGGCGAACACCATTTCATTTGCTGCCTTTGTGTGGGCCAGAGGCCCAGCCTGTCGTCTCCTTCCCGGCCTGGGAATCGACAGCGAGGCCATCACCCCCTGCAGGTGGGTCGCAGCCCCCTGGCCTCCCTGGGCTCCCCGTGCCCCCCACCTAAACAGACTTTCATTTAGAGGCCATTCGGGGAGCTGGAGCCGCAGCTTGGCCCTTCCTGTGCCTGGTCTCTTAAGATGGAATTATCCAATTATGCACCCAGCCCTGGGCCTTGGCTGGCCCCCGGGCCCTGCTCCCAGGCAGGCGGCTCTGGGCGGTGCTGCAGACAGGCCATGGACCAGCCCGTCCACCCCTCATCCCGGATGTGATGGGAGGCTGGAGGTGGGACCGGGGGGCCTGGGGCTCCGAGGGACGGGGGAGCTCCTGCCGCCATATTGAGTTGGGGCCGTGTCTCTGGTGGCTAGAACGGGGCTGGGCTGACAGCCGCACAGTGAAGCCTAGAGCAGGGAGATGTCTCGGGTCCCAGAGGACAGCCAGCCCCAAGACCAGGTGACCCTTGTTTTGCTGCCCCCAAGTGTGGCACCGGGGGGTCTCTGGGGCCTTTGGGGTTTCCACTTGCTGGTGTGGGAGCTTCACACCCCCTTTCCACTTCCCTCCAGGCATGGGCCCCCAAGGGCAGGGCTGGATCCTGGGGTCCCCAGTGTCCAATGCCCTGCGTGGCCTGAGCCTGCTGGATCTGTCTGTCTCTCTTTACAGCCCACCTGCTCTGGAGAGGACTTACAGCAGCATGTGCAGATGCTTATAAGACAGGAAGATGCCACAGAAGTGGTGGCCCCAGGCAAGGGCCCCGGGGTCAAGGGCGCGGGGTTGGCAGCGTGTGGTGGGGGCACGGGGCACCATGGTCTGCAGCCCTTGAGGAGGAAGACAGCAAGCTGCTCACCTGCCCGGCCCAGGAACCTGGCCCCTGAGGGCTGCCCGGGGACTGGAGGGGCAGTGGATGGGGGTGCATGGGGGTGGGAGCTCCCTGGGACTAGGGCTGGGGTTGGGGTGTGGGGGGACCAGAGCTATTGAGGTTTGTTCCTCTCTTGGCCCCATCTGCCTGCAGATGTGGTGCTTCTGGCTCTTTCTGGCCAGCAGCCCGCAAGGGGTCTGCTTCCCTGGGCTCCCGGGTGCACACACGGCCCCTGCCTGCCCACCCAGGCTGCAGCCCTCCCCTGCAGAGAACCCCCTCCCCGACTCCCACTCTGGGGTAACATGCCTGGCCCATCCCCTTCCTAGGCTGTCCTACCCCCTTCTCCCCTGATGCCCCAACAGTGCATGGCTCCCCCAGCCCCAGCACAGAGGCTTTCCGGCATTGGGGGACCAGGCCACCCCCCAGCCCTGTGGGGTCACCCCCGCTGCGATGTCCCTTTGCCTCTAGTTAGCAGGGCCCGTTGATGTCGTCCCGAGAGGTAGTGACCGGGCCTGGTCCCCCGGGGCGAGGGAGAGTCACTCTCGGCCACCGGGGCTGCCTGGTGCTCGGTAGTCTGCGATCTGTCCCCGGGGGGTCAGCCGTGGGGAGAGCCAGCCCTGAGATGTGGGGTCCACCTACAGTTCCTGGGTGACCCTGGGTGGTGACCATCCCTCCCAGCCGTGGTCTCGTCCTTGCCTGGCCTCCCTGGCCTGGGCCGCCACCTGCCAGGCGCATGCGGGGCCAGCCCGGCCAGAGCCTCTTGCCCCTTTAAACCTGGTGGGACCCTGCCCACCTGCCCTGCGGGCCCCGCAGTGGCGTGAGGAAGCCTTGCACGGTGCTGGCCTGCTCCTGCCTCGTGACCACACATGCCCGGGCCGCGGTGGGTCTGATGTGCCTCCAGAGCTGGAGGGCTGGGCTGGGGGGTCGTGGTGGAATGTGTGGCCTCGTGCGTCCACTGGCCTGGGTTAAGGAGGCCGACGGGGGTCCCCAGGCGTGCCCACCCCACTCGGCTCCTTCTGCTCCAGGGGACCCACGACGCTTCTCCTTCAGGGGGAAACTGTTGGAGGCCACAGGGTTCCACAGAAGTTGGCTGAAGAGGAGAGCGTGAGGCGTCCCAGCTGGGTGAGGGTTTGGGTGGGAGGCGGGGCCCGGGGCACTATGGGGGCCGCGTGTGGGGGTGGGGAGGCTTGGGTGAGAGCAGCTGGGTGTGCGTGGTGGGGTGGAACTGGGGCCTGCTACGGGGGGTCGGCGCATGTGCGTGCGTCCGTCTGTCTGTCTGGGGGGTGTGCGCCAGGGAAGGAGCGTGGCCTCCTGGCCCGGCCAAGCCGCACGCTGGGATCGCAGACTACCAAGCACCAGGCAGCCCCGGTGGCCGAGAGTGACTCTCCCTCGTCCCGGGGGACCAGGCCTGGTCACTACCCCTCAGGACGCCCTGGTTCTTGCAGAGGGGTGGTGGGGGTGGTGGGGGCGGTGGGGGCGGTAGGCCCCAGCTCACCCGGGCTGAGGCCAGAGTCGTCCTTTTTCAACATACCCTGCCATGAACACAACTGTTTTCGGGTGCTCAGTAAGGCCAGCAGCTCCGCGGCCCCGCCCTGCCCGGCCCTCACCTCAGAGTTCACTCACTTGGCCTCGCCTCCTTGTCCGTGAAACGGGCCGAACAACGTGCGGGTCGTGTGCTCTCATCTGTGGCCCAGGGAACGGTCCAGGCGCTGGGCTCCCAGCTGACTGGCCCATCCCTCAGGGGTGGAGCTTCCAGAACATTCCAAATGCCTTCGTGGGGCCAGGGTCGAGCTGAGACCACTGGCGTCTGGCTCTGCTGACCACCCCCCCTCCTCATCTCTGCTGTGGGAGCCGCGGCTCCTCCTCTCTGCCTGCTCCCCTGGCCCCTTCCCCACCAAGCTGGCTCTGAGCCCCTGGTCCCCCTTGGGTGCCCGGGCTGGTGCTTGCCAGTCTCTACCCCATCTTGGAGCTCCCATGTCTGCTTCCTCGGGGACTGGGGGACAGGGGGTCGGCTGAGAGCAAGACCAGAGTGGGAACAAGGAGGGAGTGAGCTGTGAGCGTTGGCTTCAGGGGCCGGCCTGCTGGGGGCAGAGGGGAGCCCCTTCTGGTCTGAGTCAAGGCCCCCTGAACCCTCTGGCCTCCACATAGTAGCTTCCGACTTCGCCCAGTACTCCAGGTTGACCCCAGGTGCTTCCTAGCCCTGCATGATAGGCATCCATCATCCTTCCCTCCACCACCACCACCCACCTACCGACCCAAATACCTGTCTGCCCATCCCCCCACCATTCCTTCTTCCCTCCCTCCAACACCCATCCATCCGTCCATCCATCCATGCATCCATCCGTCCATCCATCTGTTCATCTATCAATCTATCCACCCATCTGTCCATCCATCCTTCCATCCTCCCATCTGTCCATCCATTCATGTGTCCATCCTTCTCCCCACCATTTCTTCTTCCCTCTCTCCATCATCCACTAGCCGCCCATCCATGCATAGGACCCTGCTGGGGCCGGGCCATGGTCTGGGCACTGGGAATCCAGAGGGCAGGTTCCAGGTTTTCAGCTACTGTGGAGAACACAGTGCTGTCTCCTGACCCCACCTCTGTCTGCAGAACAGGTGACAAAGGGGAGGAGGAAGGGCTGGGCTGCACCTGGTGGTCCCACGACGGGGCCACTGGGGTCCATCCTGGGGTCCCTCCTGGGGTCCCATCTGAGCCCCTCAATGCAACTTCAGTGTGTCTCCCTTAACCCCTGCTCTGGGGCCAAGCCCAGTCCTCCCAGGCACGTGGCCCTGCTCCTGCCTGGGCTGCCCCTCAGAGCAGAGAGGAAAGGGCCCTTGCTCGCAGCCCCCCACTCCTCCTGCCTTGCCAGCACCTTGCGGGTCTCCAGCCGGCCACGCCGCTGGGACAGCCCAGAGTCAGGGCTGGGTGAAGGAGGAGGCCCTCTCCCGAGACCCCACAGCCCACGAGCAGGGCCACCCTGCCTCCAGGGAGCGAGGCACTTACCGCACGCCTCGGGGTCACGGGGAGAGCACCCCGTTCTCCTGCCTGAGGACCCCCGGCTCACGTGTCCCGCCATGTGACGGCTCCCGCCGAGTGCCTGGCCTGGCTCGGGGTGCGCCTCTGCCCTCCAGCGCCCCCAGATGATCTGGCCGTGGTGTTGGGGGGTCTGCCGGGCAGGGAAGGGGTAGAGGGAAGCAGGAGGGAAACAGGACGGGTGGGACGGAGAAGCAGTGCCGCACCCTCACGCACCCCTGCGCACGCCACCCAGAGCAGGAAGAAAGGTAACTGATGGGCAGTATTTTAAGGCATATTAACTCAATTACAAGTATATTTTTACAATCGTGGCTCCCACATTTATCACGCGGCGTTTATTAGCCCCCGGAGCTGGGCTGTGTCAAATGAAGACTGCGAAGCAGGAGCATTTCATTACGCTCTGCCCGCGCCAGGCGCTCCTTCCCGAGTCTCTTAAACCGCACGATTTTATCAAAATCTTCGGAAATTGAAGCAATCACTAAAAGGTGTCGGGGAATTAAAATGTTCTGTCTCGGTGAAAGAGATACACTTCTTGTAACATATATCAGTGGTTCTTGTTTTTTTAAAGACACATTACTATGCAGAGAAAAGTCCCCCGCACAGGAAGGGGGCCTTCCAGAAGGATCCAGCGCGGTAATTCTTCACGCTTAAAAATTGTCTCCAGGAGACGTGCTGCCCGCGAGGGCGCCTTCCGCACCTCCGTCTCCTCTCTCTGTGTGTTTTTCCAGGTTTGTTCTCACCCTCGTGGTTTGGGGTCGCCTCGCTCCAGACCGGCCTCGGGTCTGAGGACGGGAGATCGGAGCGCCGGGGTGGCACGGGAGTCCCGGCACCCCCCCCCGCGCCCCTCTGCGCTGGTGAAGCCCGTGGGAAGGGCCATGTTTGGAGTCTGCCCCCCGATTTCTCGAATGCGGCCGTCTCTGGTGTCCCCTTCCTGCCACCGTCTGTGGCGCAGAGTGAGGGTCTCAGCGCGGCGTGTCCCTCGTCCTCCTCACCCCGCGGCCTGGGCTCGGTGGGCGCGGCCCCAGTCACCTCTGAAGCCTGGAGGGGGTGCGTGGGGGTCTCGCCTGACAGGGTGGAAGGAGCACAGGTCCTGGAGGGCTGAGGGCCCCCAAGGAGGTTTGGCCATTTCTGTCGCTTCCCCCGGCCTGCCCCGCCGTGGAAGGCACCATACCCTCTGCGTGCGGTCAGTTCTGAGGGAGGGGCTGGGGTCAGGGCGGGGCGGCCAGGCGGGCAGGCGTGTCGCAGGGCCCGGCGGTCAGCAGGGCGTCAGTCCCCACCACGGCGGGGCGGGACCACAGGGAGGACCCCGGTCCTGTGTGCCGGTGGGGCCTGTGCAGGGGGCCAGCTGGCGGTGGTGGTTCGGCGTGGGGAGGAGGGGTGCTGGCCGAGGACGCCGGCCAGGTCTGCGGGGCCGGCCTCACTGCAGCCAGCCTGGTTCGGCCGAGGCTGGGTTGGGGTCCCCTGGGGCAGTGGTGGGGAGACCCCCGCGGAGGGCAGAGGGCTGGCCAGGCGTGGCTCCCAGCACCCTCCTGTAAGGCCTCCGAGGGCGTCTCTGTCTCTCCGTGTTGAAGGAGCGTTGTTTTGGAAGCCCTGTGGCTGCAAAGCTGGGAGCAGCTTGATGTCCTTCAGTGAATGACCGCGAAGCACACAGTGGACGTCCACAGCCCTGACGCCACCCAGCGAGAGGGGGCGAGCCCGGCCCGGGCTTGTCTGCAGGATTTCACCGGTGCAGCCGCCCGCGGACAGACCAGCAGCTGCCAGCCGAGGGGGCGGGCCCCTGGGGCCCCCAAGGGACCCCCGCGGGGCCTTCTGCGTCTCCGTCGTGTCCGTGTCAACGTCCCCCTTGTGATCGGTAGTT